CCACGGGAAGCAGGTGGCCGACCTCCACTGGCTAGAAAGTGGGTATAAGATAAATTCAGGCAAAGAACCAAACACACTGATGCAGTCATTCACACTTCACATGACTAAGCAGCAAGATGTTTGCTTCTTACGTTTGTTTCTCTTGTAGAACAGAAGATAAGCCCTGTGTGATTTAGACAAAAGTGTGAAAAGAAAGTTATTTACATATTCAACAAAAATATAGTGGGAACAACAAGATAAATAAAAACTTACGTCTGACTGCTGTCCACCTGGAGTGGCTGGTAAACAAGCTGTTGATGAAAGGAACAACAAGACACTTCACATAACTGCACAACTGTGTGTTGAAGTACAGATGCTTTAGGAACAATAACACTGAAGGTGGTCAGTCTTACTGGTGAGACAGCAGTGTCGTTGAATTGAAACCATTGCTCATCATCCTGGGACTTGACTGTTGCAGTGTAATGTCCACCTCTCAGACTTCCACAATGGTCCACAAAGGCATACAGCTCATAGGTCTGATTCTGGTAACCAGTGGAAAAAGAATTAGCATAATAAGGGCCATGGATTACAACCCCTAATCATAAAGAGTTGGAACAGATGTAAAATCCATATTAAAACTGAAATAGTGATCTTTTAAAAAAATTCAGTGCCCTGTATTACATTAAACACAAAAGAGCAGCACATTATTTGATCTGATACCTCAATTTTATTCTTTGTGCAAAATGAACACTCACTTCAGTTCGGATGCCTGCAACACGTTCCAAAAAAGTTGGGATGGTTGCATTTCAGGGACAGTAATAAAGTACAACAGTGAAATTATGATTCCATTTGACCATTTGAAACAGATGATGTCAACAGGAGACTGCAATCATGATTTGGTACAAGAGTGGTATCCAGGAAAGGATGAGCCCTTTAGGAGCAAAGGATCGCCAGTTTGCCAACATTTACCTGAGAAAGTTACTGAAATGTTTAAAAACAATGTTCCTCAAAGAAAGATAGGAAAGGATTTGGATATGTCACCCTCTATGGTGCATAACATCATTAAAAGATTCAAGGAATCTGGAGGGATTTCAGGGCACAACAGGCAAGGGTGCAAGCCTAAGCTGGATGATCGCACTCTGATCCCTCAGACGGCACCGCATCAACAATTGTCATTCTATAAGCAATATAACCACATGGGCTCAGGATGACTTTGGCACCCCTGTGTCAGGCACTACAGTATGTAGTTACTTCCATAAATACCACTTAAAACATACTGTGCCAAAAGGAAGCCCTAGGTCAACAGTGTCCAGTGTCGACTGCTCTGGACTCAGAGGCATCTGGGACAGACCATCACACAGTGGAACCATGTACTGTGGTTAGATAAATCAGTATTTCAGGATTTTTTTCAGAAGGAATGAATGTAGTGTGCTCCGGATCAAAGATGAAAAGGATCATCCAGACTGTTACCAGCCAAAGCCAGGGTCTGTCATGGTCTGGGCTTGTGTCAGTGTCCTTGGCAAAGGTAACTTGCACTTCTGTGATGGAACCATTAATGCTGAACAATACACAGAGATGTTGGAGCAACATATGTTGCCTTCTGGATGACATCTTTTCCAGAGACGCCCATGTATATTTCAACAATACAAAACCTTATACTACACACATTACCAAGGCCTGGCTGTGGAGGAAAAGGGTGCTAGTGCTGGACTGGCCTGTCTGCAGTCCCAACCTGTCCCCAGTAGAGAATGTGTGGCACATTTTGAACACAAATTGCATCAATGAAGACCCAGACCCAGGACTCTTGTGCACGTTAAGACTTTGCAGGAAGAGTGGGACAAAATGACACCTGACACATTTAATCACTCAGGGTTCTCAGTCCCTAAACGTCTTTTAAGCGTTGTAAAAAGGAACAGCAACATCTCACCATAGTAAACGCTTTACTGTCCCAACCTTTTTGAAGTGAGTGTTTATTTTGAAAACAATAAAACTGAGGAGATATCACATCAGATAATGTGCTGTTGTATTGTTTTCAATGTAATACAGGACAGAGATGATTTACACATCACTATATTTTAGATTTTACATGCTGTCCCAACCTTTTCTGAGTTGATGTTGTAAAAACTAAGGAGTTGTGTTAAGAATGTAAAAAAAAACAGAAACAATAAAGTACAATAATAACTGCCAGCTCTATTTGACGACTAAAGTCATAGAATAAATGAAAAGAAACTGCAAGGTGATGTCAGACAATGTAGGTTTCTTTTTTCACTTTTGAAAATGTGCTTCAAACTGTGATAGAAAATAGAAAATCATGTTTCAATAAACTGTAGGTATTGTTGAAGGACATGACAAATGACAACATATGACAGTTGTTACAGTGACAGACTCATCCTGTAACACAGTTGCACTCAAAATTATTCAACCCTCATTGTACATTAGGTGTATTTCAAAAATGTGCAAACTTTCAAGAGTTTGCAACCATCATCAAGCCTGGAGCTTTCCTGGTCTTTTGTCTTTTAAAGAGACAATTCATCAGAGGTGTGGGGCCCATGGGGGTGTTTGTGGATGGAGCAGCTGATGCAGGAGGTCTGAGGGGAGTGAGTGAGGAGTGAGGGATTCTGGATCTCAAACCTGCAGTAGAACTGATTGAGCTCATAATGCTATCACTACGAAATTGTCGTTAAAAAAAAAAAAAAAATAATTCACTCATAACTTACAGTAGTAGCATCCGATTTGGCCTTACACTCATCACAGTAGATCTGGTTTCCTTCCGTTAGATTTGTTGCTTTGAAATACTTGTCAATGCCATGCTCCTGAAAAAAGAATTAATGTCACTTGACCTTGAAATTTTCTAACACAAAACCTGAACTGGCAAGCCATCCTGGAATCCACAGAAAAAGGGTGCTGCACTGCTCCCGCTGTATATGTTTAAACTTTCAACTGTTCTGCTGGTCAACAAAGTTTTTAGGGTTTAGACCAAAAGAACAAAATGACTGAAACATAAACACAACTCTGGCCTGTGTAATTCAGTATAGTGCTGAAATACATTTCATTCACATGAGCCATTTTACATCCATCCAGTTCAAACATTCATTGTTTCCCAATTGTCTAATGTGAATGGACAGTTCAAGTAGTCCCAGCATTTTAAATTGACAGAACTACATTTTAACACATCATTCATACTTTCCATCAACACATACTGCAGCTCTCACTGAAAAAATAAAATATTTCTCATT